TATTTCTTACCGTGTAGTGGTGTTGGCTCTCAACCATAGTATCCTTGAGACCGAACACATTGTATGATCCGTTTTGAGTGTTTTGTGTTTGTGAAAATCCCTCCATGTATATACTTGCACTTTGTTCCTATTGATCCCCTTAGTTGTACATTGTTAGTTTCTTGCTTACATTTGAATTGTTAACATTTGTATGTTATCATAGTTTTTATTTTTATTACGCCTTCACTAAGTTTTTGTGCTTCTTTCCGAACTGCACTTATGTTGTTTTACTTGACACTTGTTCTTGGCGGCGTCCACATTGATTCGCTCCTTCTTTTGTGTGTGATCTATCCAGTCAGGATAGAATAGCGTTCATTTGTTGTGACTGGTAATTTTCCTACATCTTTTATCAACTTTATTTATTGTAATTTAGATTTGATTGATTGAACAATTATTGGTTGAATAGCCGGGTGGTAATATTTGTTTAGGTAACGATTTACTTTTAAATTTATGATGAATTATAGAACCGCTATTTACCCGATTACTTGCTTTGATTTTGACGGGCAAGGGGGCGTGTGTAATCTACACTAGAGGCTACTCAACAGTCCAAACCGTAGTTTGGATTCTACACACATGACAACTGAAAAGGTTTACATTCAACATTTAACACTGAGAGAGAGTTTCAAAGAGTGTGAGCGCGTGAACACGCAATAAGACTGGCTCGACCATGCAGGCGTAGTCAATGTGCGTAACTTCTTACTTTTCACAGTGAACGTATTGATCTATCCCTAGTCCAAATATTTTCGTAAGAGTTCCTTAAAAACATATTTCTCCCTGTTACTATAAGACGAGCCACATTGGAAATGATGTGATTTCTACGTAATCTGATCGTGGTAAACCTACAATTCGCCGATTCGGTCTATCTTTCTGGCAGCAAGGATAAACGCATCTGACACTATTACGGGAAAGCTGGAGACTTTTGGTTGATTAAATCCTTCATCTTAAATACTATTGGTTTCAATGCGTTTATGGATATATTTGTTTTACTCAACTTCTGGACTTGTTTGTTTATATCGTTAATTTTGAACGTTTTGGTCCCTTTCGTTCGGTATTTGGGCGTTTTTGCGCCTGGAACCTACAAAATTGGAGGTTTGTTTTGTAGTCATTATAATTATAGTTGTTAGAATGACATTTGGGTCGACTATTTGTAAATTGCGAATAAACTTTGATATCTAAATTGGAGTTTGGTTCAATTGTTAATTTGGGTTCGTACATTGCATATAGATTGATATACAGTACCTCAATAACGGGAACGAGTAAAACTTGGACGTAACAATACCGACGTGGACATTATTCTGACAACAACCCATTTTTCAAAATTATATCTCATCTGGGCACACTACCGTATCCTAGTACAATGTGATGCAATTCAAAAATCCAATTGCCACTACACATTGAGTACATGGATTCACCACCTTCACTGTTGGGTTGAGAATTGTCGTTTCTATTTCCAATTGACATACAATATATCACTTGTATACACATGCCTAAATCACTTAGAACTTCTCTCTTTCTCTTTGTCTTAATACCTTTAGTCATGCCATCACGTTTCTTTCCACCCTACTCCTTTATTGCATACGTACCTGTCATATACATACACCAATCAAAGTTTCACAACAGTTACCGCTTCATCAATATCTCTGCTGAAGTTGTCTTATAACTTCGTATTATCACCGATTAAATACATTATACTAAAAGTATGTTTATTGTCATGGACGCTGCAAAAACCAGCGACCTCGAATATCCTGGTATGGTCAAGGATGAGAAGAGTCAGATATCTGTCACTCGAAATGCTCTTACATGACCACGCGTATACAGACACTGCCAGGAAAGTCCTACTCACTACCTTCTCGTGGCAGGCTTTTGTTTACAAAATTCAAAGGACGAAGAGTGAATGTCCGGCGCTTTAACCGATCGGTGGTGGGTATGGAGGATCGACCTAGGGGAGTTGGAAAACCCTGATTCCAAACCAGTGGTACACATGGGCTTCAGGATCCTGAGGGAACAAATGGCGTATGGACCTATCGTTGGTCACTGGTTATCATGGGACTGCATCTCCTCACGTCGTTCTACTGCCTTGTGGATTTGACATCGAGGTCGAAGCCTTCGAGTGTGGCCCTCTAAGGTAACCATTTGCTTCGGTTTGGGTAGTATCACAGCCCACACACAAATCAGGTGACTTATGTGGCGCATATGCATTCGATACCGTTTTGTACCAATATTTGTATTCAAATAAATAAAAAAGGAAAATTCTAACCAGCAGCTCTGTCTTTAGCCTTCGCGGGGTGAGTTAACGAACAAATCCTACAGTTACCACTGATCCAAACGCTTGGATAAAGAAAGAGTGTTCCGGATAAGGACGCCAACTAGAAAAGCAGGCTTGAACCATGTGCACTTAACCATGAATGTGAGTAGATCTTCATTTAGAAGAATTATGACGCCTCATGGTGAAAGTCGAGGAAGTCACGAAGTCAATGTCTACTCTAACAACCAGAACAACGAGTACATAGTACAACTGGCAGTTCGGATGCAACTAGACGATTTGAACTTCGCAGATGACCTAGCTTCCATATTCGACACACACTAACAAACACAGTCAGTGTAGAAGTAGCCGCTGCAACAGATGGCATCAGCATTCCCAACTGAGTAGTAAGTTTCAACACAAAAAGCACTGGAAGGGCTGGAAAGGATCACGCACTTGAAGGGCATAATCGATTAACAAGAGATTTCGATGTCTGAACGAAATAATTACTACTAAGAGCTAGTTGGACTGCCAATAACTCACTTCATATTGTTCACATATCCAGATAATTGTTCCAAGCACAAACTCAAAAGTTCTCAGAGATTTGCTCCCTTGCAGTTCAGTCGTAACGCTTTCCAGTCAGATATCACTTTCCGTGACCAATTGAACAATCAAAGATCATTTATGAAATAGATAAAAAAATAGGTACTGGTAAAACATTTGATAAGATTACATTCAAGCTCAGTTCTTTTTACATAAGCTAACACATGAAAAAAATGTGTGAGAGCCATCAAGATACCATGTTTCAGTCTTGGGGTCAGCACCTACCCCACTAACGAATAGTGATCACGTTGTATTTTAAGTTTCGGGTACACGGTGAAAAATATATATCTGCTCCACCCTGTCCCAGTACCTGGAGAGCCAATATTCTGGCAACCAGAGATTGTGCTATCTCGAGTGACTGGTCAGTCGATGCGGAATGATCGATGGAAGACAAATGGAACCAGTTGAAGGCTACATTCGAGTCCGTAACATCACCGTTTATCTCATGGTCAACTCGTAGTCTCTCACATCGCCCTCCATGGATTAATAAGGAGATCCGAAAGTTGTTGAAGCGTAGTAAATAGTTCTGGGAATTATACGTCTCAACAGGACACGAACAATTTAAGTGTGAATACCGAAAAATCCGGAATATATGTAGAAAGACCATAACTACATGCCGTATTATTTACGAACTACAGCCGGCATATGATAGCCGTACATGTCCTAAACGACTGTTTTCATAAGTTAAATGATGGTCTTTCCCCCGTTAAGATTACAAGAAAATTCAGATTTATTAGCTTAATCAGATAAAAAGGTGAGACTTTATCAAACTGTCTCAATGAAATCTACTCTACATGTGTCGTAACAAATATTTGAACCAATCACATCGAGGTACCAGACATAGGACCTGTATATGTGACTGAGGAAACTGTTCTTCCGTCCATCACTAACCTCAAACCTTGTGAAATACAAGGCCGTCAAGTTAAGTTACTTGAAGAGATAATTCGGGTTAAGTTATTAAGGCACATAGGTTCGTACAGTCTGTTAACTCCCGAGCAACACGGGTTTCAGAACAAGCATTTATACTTGACTAACGTATTTATTACAAGAGAGGATTAAACAGCAGCCCCAGATAACGGTTTGTCTGTTGATGTGATATTCACAGACTTTAGCAAAGCGTTTAACACGGTTTCACACTTAGGTCTTATACCGAAGCTCGAGAGCCTCGGAATAACATGTGGTATGCAGGAATGGATAGGAAACTTCCTATGTGGCCACATACAGAGTTAGGGCCAATGGAGTGCTATCCAAATGGAAGACGGTCAAAAGTGGTATACCCCATAACACCATCTTGAGTCCCCGACTTTTCCTTCTCCATGTCAACGAATTACCACCACTGCATATGTCGTCGAGATTATTGTTTGGGGATGATGTCGAAATCTCGACAACAGTAAGCTGACCTAGACAAACTAGTTAGACGGAATCGATATTAAGGCTTGGAACTTAATTGTGACGGGAGTATGCTCATGATCATCGGACACGGTCATAGTTACCATTATACTATAGATGGTACATTTCTTCCGCACGTTCAAAAAGATAAAGACTAAAGAATACTAATAATTCACGACCTGAAAAAAACTACATATCGCGACGCAGCAGCCACCAAAGGGTTTCGTGCGATACGACCACTTTGCCGAGCATTCAAATACTTTGACGAGATGCTTCGACTTTTATATCCGACCTATGTAAGATCACACTTACAGTACTGTATCCAAGCAACTGATCCATATCTGATTAAGAATACCAACTCACTTGAGCGTGTCCAGAGTGTGGTAACAAAATAAGTAAAGGATATTTCTAATCTCCCTTATGCTAAGCGCTTAAAACGCCTAGATCTTTTCACTTTGTCGTATCGCGCGAAGCGAGGTGACCTATTAGCAATTCGTATCTTTAATTACGATTTGGGTGTTCTTATGTCTTATCTTTTTGTTCCCTCCAGCACTAGCAATCTCTGAGGTCATAGCAAGAAGGTTTACAAACCGCGATCTAATAAAGTTAAAATGGCGTTCCGTTTTTCTCAACTAGTCGTCAATGACTGGAACGCCGCACCCGAATAAGTGGTATCAGCCCCATCAGTGAACATTTTCAGAAAGAAGGTGAGCCTAAATCAAAAGACAAACTGACAAGATTAACATTAACCATCTATCCTTACTACTAAAGACTGATTATTCTCTGTGTTTTATTCATTCACATGTATGGGCGTCTCTAGCCGCTATTTACAAGCTCACGGTTACCATGTCTGATAAAGGCACTAGTTCAGGTTGTAAACGAAGTCGACCAGAAGATTGGGGCGAGATTGACCCTTCTCCAGTTGTCCATGTCCGTGGTCTACCAAGACATAGTGTTGAATTTGATGTCGTCAAAGCATTTGAGCCTTATGGGCGTATTCGTGACGTAACGATGATGCCTCAGAAAAAACAAGCTTTGGTCGAATTTGAAGATATATCATCAGCTGAAGCACTTATAGAAAGGTACGATTTCGTAGCTTAGGACCTAGTGTCTGTCTTGATCATTTAATAGTGACTCAACAGTTGTTACTTGATTATTTTTACTTGGTTTTTATAAGGTGTGTAATAAGTACGTTTTGTACACCTCAATAAACTGATCATGTTGGTCTCCCCAATATTGGTGTACGTGTTGCTAGTCTTTTGTAGTTCGTTACAGAATGAACTAGACCTGTCAGTCTTTTTTTCAGTGACTTAAATAGAAACAAAAAGGTACAGTAAATTCTTATTTCAGGAGTTTAAGAAACTTTCAGAATGGCCAAAGATCCAACTTTAGTCACTGGTTAGCTAGCTGTCAGATTTTTTATTCAACAATCGTCTAAATATCCGTTCCAGGCTGTTCATTAATGTTATATAAGAGGATTCGGTGAAGAGATATCAAGTGAAAACAATGTCAAGTGGATAAAAGATGATAAATAGTAAATTAAGGGGACTAAATGAATGTAAAAAAAATCGTATAACGAAAAGAGAGTATTAATCATAAGCTCGTACTCGCCCTGGTCTATATATGTTCATCTACTGTTCCAGTTTCGAACAATCGGTTGAGTGGAACTCGTCACTATACATCAACTTCATTGATTATGAAAAGGCATTTGACAGTGTAGATAGGAGGACATTATGGAAACTTCTCCGACACTACGGAATTCCTGAGAAGATTGTCAATATTATCCGGAACTCATACGACGGACTACAGTGCAAGGTCGTGCATGGAGGACAGCTGACAGATGCATTCCAAGTAAGGACCGGGGTCAGACAAGGCTGTTTACTCTCTCCCTTTCTCTTTCTTCTGGTGGTCGACTGGATTATGAAGACCTCGACATCTGAAGGAAAACACGGAATACAATGGACAGCTCAGAACCAATTAGACGATCTGGACTTCGCAGATGACCTAGCCCTCCTATCACGTACACACGAACAGATGCAGATGAAGACAGCCAGTGTAGCAGCAGTCTCTGCATCAGTAGGCCTCAGTATACACAAAGGGAAAACGAAGGTCCTCAAATTCAAAGCGGAAAACAGCAATCCAATCACTCTTGATGGCGAAACTCTGGAAGATGTAGAATCCTTCACATACCTGGGAAGCATCGTCGATGGACAAGGAGGTTCAGATGCAGACGTAAAGGCGAGGATTGGCAAAGCAAGGGCCGCATTCCTACAATTGAAGAACATATGGAACTCAAAACAACTTTCAACCAATATCAAAGTGAGAATCTTCAATACGAACGTCAAGGCAGTTCTACTGTATGGAGCTGAAACTTGGAGAACTACAACAACCACAATCAAGAAAGTACAAGTATTTATAAATAGCTGTCTACGCAAGATACTCAACATCCATTGGCCAGATACCATCAGCAATAGCCTTCTGTGGGAGAGAACAAACCAACTTCCAGCTGAAGAGGAAATTAGGAGAAGACGATGGAAATGGATAGGACATACATTACGCAAATCGTCAAACTGTATCACGAGACAAGCCCTAACTTGGAATCCTGAAGGGAAGCGGAAAAGAGGAAGGCCAAAGAACACATTACGTCGGATAATAGAAGCAGATATGAAAAGGATGAATTACAACTGGAAGGAGCTGGAAAGGATTGCCCAGGACAGGGTTGGATGGAGAATGCTGGTGAGCGGCCTATGCTCCTTCACGAGGAGTAACATGCTTTAATAATAATAATAATAATAACTGTTCCAGTTGGAACGAATCAGTCTTTGAATACGGACGTAGTTGTTTTTCTTTTAAAGCACTAATACATGTCTTGTTACGGTCGGCAAAGTACTCTACATAATGTGGACTCGTAAAGCAAAAACGTTAAGTCTCACTCAAACACTAGCCCTTCGATGTGATAATAAATCAAGTATTTTGCTCTCAAGTTCGCATTATTTTAATATATTTCCTATTCCTTTCTATAGTCATTGTTAATTTCTTTGGCTGTCTCAATTTGAGATGTTACTGCCGAAGACTCGTAAATATCTCTTATTGTTTTACGCTTTGTATGGTAAGCTGAATGATTGAAAGTGGCCAATTCATCAAATGCATTCTACTGACTACGTTTTCAAGTGATTCAGTAATTAGGCACAGTGGAATAGACCCTTAAAGTGGGTGAACATCGTGCCTAAAATAACTTGGTTTCTAATACTAGTAGTACGCTGATTACCCAAATTCAAGTCATCAAGTTTAGCAAAACAGTTCATATCGTTATCCTAATTGGGTTAAATTTCAAAGCGATAATTATCCTTACAATTGTTTCTTATCGCTAAGTATTCAGTTTAGCTATCTTAAGAACCTAAATTTCAGCTATTATATCGAACATACCTTGTTATAAGTTTGTTCACGTGATGTTTAGTATCGCAGTTCACATAATGGCAAAAATCAACCAGACTGAGTGATATTTATTTTCTTTACACGTCATACAAAATCAAAAGCGACATCAGTTTAATCCAGAAAGATATTGTAGTGAGTTAATTAATTCGCCATAGGCAAACAAATATTAGTGTGCTCTGAAAACTTCATTATGCAACTCACACAAGTAATTAGACTGGTTTATACTTTCATATTGTATTTAAGATTTAGTTCTCGTTTACAACCAAATCCCAAGTCTATAGAGAAACAAAATCCTGATAATCATGTACTTACTCTTATTCCTAATGTTTAGAAATCCTGAAATGAAAATTTTGAATAGCCTGGTTCAAATCAGTTTCAGCACGTCAAAACATATAGTTCAACGGGCTGCAAATAGAGCTCCTGCCGATGAACAAAGTTCGCTCTCAGCAGATAATCATATCCTTCTGTTTACAATTTACGATACTGATCGTCCTATAACTGTTGAAACAATTTATCGAATAACGTTTTCGTACGGTAGTGTCCTTCGAATAGTTATCTTCCGGAAATCCCAGGTTCAGGTTAGTGATAAAATAAAAACCGACATGTGTTTCAGGCAATGGTGGAGTTTAGAAGTATACAAGAAGCGCGCAACGCAAAGCTCCACTTGAATGGTGCAGATATTTTCCCAGGATGCTGTACTTTAAAGGTAGACTATGCTCGTCCAGCTCGATTATCTGTGCCCAGGAATGATCAGGATAACTGGGACTTCGAGAAATGTGAACGTGACCCATCCTGTAATTTTCAAGATGATCACTACCAAAACTCGCTTCTCGGTAAGTATCTTAGCAACATTATTTTCATTCTTCAGGTTATATGGATGAGGGTTATTATGATTACGAACATCCTTATGGGCAGTATCCATACGAAAATTCGGACGAATACGGACGCCCATACCCCCCAGAATGTAATAACGCACCTGTGGGACCTCATAATTTTCCCACACTAAATGGTGCTCAAAATAGGAATAAAAGTTTCAACTCCACGCCAGTGGTTATGCTGTACAATATTGATATTAAGAAAATGAACTGCGATCGGTTAGTTTATTTTTCCATAATTTTATAAATCCATACGGCTTTTATCACACGATTGTAATTAAAAGATAATCTATTATCCAGATAAAGCAAAGCGGTAGCTTAGTGGTTAAGGCATTTGTTCTTCTGTCCCTATGTTCTAGTTTCAAACCTCGCTCTACTTCGGTTCGAGCAACCGGGTAGTATCATTGCTCCTCACACTCAGAGTGGGGCTCATACCCAGGTACCTGGTGAGCGAGTTCATTTAATTTAATTATTAGCCACTATTGGCTAATGGCAAGTCGTTCAATTTCGATCATTAAAACGGTTGAATGCTGTTATTTTAGTGTATGACTTTACTAGATTTTTATCAAGTAACCCACTAGCACAACCGTACATCCGATGTTGTCTCTAATAGTATGTTATCTTGGGAATATCCACAAATGGGACTAAACTGTAGATTGGTATCACTTCAAACTTTTAAAGGTAACTGCATCTGAAAATTATTCCGACATAGATCTGGCTGAAATTCAGATTTAATTGTCTTCACTGGTGTTTCTAGCTGTCACTCAAAAATGCAGTACAACTAATCCAGTAAAAACGTAAATATCAAGTGATATTTTCGTTGTTTGCTTCCTCTGGATTTCTTATTTCCAACAATAAATAATCAGTCGATATCCAGTATGATAAATGGAAGATTATCACTCTTCCACCATATCTTTACGCTCAAACAACGCATTTATTCCAAGATGTAGACAGAAAATTCGAATTCCAAGAATGTTTTTAGCAAAGCCTAACTTAATTACCTTACCAAGGTGTGACTTGATAATTTGAAATCGGGCATTGGGTGGATTGCTAAATCCAATAAAATGGAGTTGTAACTTTAACTACCCTTCAGAGGTCTAGTTTTATTTGACAAGCTAACAAATGAGTTCTTCTAGAGTATAAAAATCAATCACAAACATCTTTAACTAATTTCCTCCCGTGGTCTGTTTCATTAGTTTCTTTAAAATTCTATTTCTTATGTTTACATTTTTACCAAAACTGATGTTATTATTTCCTCCTATGCACTTTTATCTCAATATTTCACCTGACTTATGATATAGGGTGTGGGGAATTGAATCTTTACTCATTTGTACCAAATACCAAGTTGTCTATTGCTCAGTGTGGTTTATATTAAAGTGACTTGTTTTCAAACAATTGCTTTTATTAACTCTAGCCGTACAATGTGCATATCCGAACCAAATAAAAATGCTTGGTTTTGTTTTTTCTTTTCTTACTTCACACATTGAATTTATCAGTTCAGATTATGTAATCTGCAAATCACTTAACCCTTGTTTATAACTACCATCAATTTGAATCTGTCGAGTGAAGTTCAGAGGAAGTGTAAACTTGTAAAAACTAAATAATAATGTAACTAAGGTCTGATATTTTGAATCTCAAATATCTGTTTAACTAATTAACATCCAGTTTCTTGTGATTTTCATGTAATTCATAACACTCATTCCGCTTCCTTATTTAGCATATTCAATATTTTGTGTATATATGGCAACGTCATCCGCGTTAAATTTCTCCGTACTAAAGAAGGTTCAGCTATGGTTGAAATGGGCGATGTTGAATCAGCTACCCGCCTTATACGAAATTTGTCAGGTGTTTCGTTTATGGGTAACCAGTTAATGGTGAGTAATGTCTTATCTGAGACTGATTTCTCGTTTACGTTGTATGTTTTATGTCTTTGTATTATGATTTCCCGACTTATTTCCATTTCGGAACTTTTTCGTCCACATTGTTTTCCATATGCTGTGTTCTTTTAACTTTTCATTTTCTTGTCTAGCTTTGTAGCACCGTAGTGTATCAGTTACTCAAATGTATGTATGCTTATCGATCCGTAAAACTGGCATTCAAGTTTAAGTTCACACTACAGACAGAAGTTCATATTTTGTTTTTATCTATGTGTCGTTCAAATAAAAGGATGCATGAAAAATGCATATTTGTCGAAAGCAAAAAGTTCATATCAGCATTATTGCTGACATATGTGAGAAATCGTTTCATTTTCATGAGAAACACATAAAGAGACACCCTTTCCCAAACAGCCTAAAAGTCTCACCTCATTGGTGTTAGTTGTTTCAGTAAAGGTTCTCACCTAGTGACATGGCTATTATCTTTGCGTGAGTTGTGTAGTAGACTTTGTACAGTCCCAATAATCAAAACCATCGCAATTTTTTCTCTATGTATTCTCGTATCAGAGTTTTATACGGTTACACAACTCCCCTTAAAGTGGTAATCAAATGGTGACCTAATGAATATATCCCCTGAAAATGTAGATGTTTCGTCAGCTTGCGATCTACAAGGTAGTGGAAATGAGTATTTGGAAGCTAAATATTCTTATTTGAAGTCAATAAAATCAGTACAAATATCTTAACAAGCTTCCCTCAGAACAATAAATATTTAATTGTTCTATGTTTGTTTATTCCCTGTTCGCTTACCTCTTTGTCCTTGATTAGTCTTAATTTCGTTTCCGTCTGGTGAATTTTCTCCAATATACACTTCTAGTAAATTCAAAAAGCATTGATCCGAACTTCATGTTAACCTCCATATTCATTCTGTCTATGAATGCGCCATGTTAGAAATTGCTGAGAGCAAATAGAACACTTCTATCGATGACAATAATATAAAAGAATCTACGAATTTTCTCTCTTCACTAGCCAACATTGTTAAATCAACTTTGCTGTGATCACTCATTTAGTATTTATGTTCTTGGTTTGATACTACGTTTTCTATCCTGAAACGTAGGTTTCATCATAACATTTATTCTTAAATTAGCTTCAAAAATATTTGAACACCATTACGTACTAAATTGTTTCAGTCTCTTGTTTTCAATTAATTATGAAGCATGTGACATTCAATTCAACATGTTTTAAAACTGCTTTAATAATCTTGTTACATGCAGGCAGTTTTCTAAGAGCAGTGGTAATCGAATACTACTGACTTCAGTACATATGATAACCACATTTCATTTCTATATGACTTACCATTGACAAGTAGCTATCTTTTTAGCATCATTTTGAACTGTGTTTTTATTTTCTCAAGCTATAAAATAGTTAACACACTTCAGTACTTCCTAAATAACATACACCGAAGGTAGACATATGTAATCTTTTTTGAAAATGGTATTGGACCTTGCAGAACTAAAGTTCATTCCATTAGTTAAGGGCTGTATTGATATAGTCCACTGTTGGCTGTCAATTGCTAATTGTTCCAATAATAATTTAGTGTTTATGTTATGGTTTATTTATCTTAGTGGGCTTAAGTTCCTATTATTCGATTCCTTCATCTATTCACCTGATTTCTTTTGATTTCCAGGTACGAACTAGTAAGCAAGATGTCATTTTGGATGTTTCTAGTCCATTCCAGTTGCCCGATGGTTCTCCTTCTTTTAAAGATTACAGCAAAGATCGTAATAACAGATATACTACAGCAATCATGGCTAAAAAGAACCGTATTCATCCACCTTCACGTACACTGCACTACTGGAATGCTCCTCCTAAAATTTCGAATAACGAGTTATTAGAGTTTGTGAGAAAATGTGAAGCCCCTGAACCTCAGTACGTTTTCATATTTTGTTTTGGTGTACACAAATATTGCAGTAAATCCACAAATTATTTAGACAGATTCTTATAGAATACCTGATCACGAGGTCGTTAAAAACCGTTTAAATACTTTACCTTACCGAGGTGTTTTGGAAATTATCGTGAACCATTAATGAGCACTCTGGATTTTACTTGCTATGAGTGATATTGCTTAGGATCTAGTAAAATGAAATGAATGGTGATTTTTTAAACGACTTTCTCATATTCCATCTCAATAAAAATGAAGCTGTTCTTATTCTCAGCACTTTTTGCAATTCATACTGTTTTACATCATTTCCTGACACTTCATGTTTTAATTTGAGATATTAATGCAGACTTCAATTCTATCCTATGGGTATCATCGGTCTTGATGCAATATCTGTGGGCCATAGTCTAGTGTCTAAACCTGCACATAGTTTTTTATTAGAATATGCTTTATGATTTCCTTGAGGAGTTTTAAAAGTGTTTAAAATAAACTTAAATATAGAGAATAATTGTTTGACATGTTATATATAGTTATCTGAGTGGCTCGTATGTCCATTGTCTTATGAAATTCAACCATGACAATTAAAGGTAGAAACTATACACTTCGGTCGCTAATTGGTTAAAGGTACTGCTTGTCTATTCTGTAAAAAGATAGCTATAATAAGGTCAGATGTAAGACTTTAAGTTGGAAATACTTGTCAGCTCATTACATTGTTAATTGGCAGTGTCTGTCATTGAAAGATGTGCCTCAGAAGTACATAAACCTTGTGAAGGCTCTTTACTCGAACACTACCGGTCGAGTCAGAGCTTATGGCGAACTGTCATCTGATTTTACAACCTCAAGTGGTGTCCGTCAAGACTGTCAACTATCTCCATTTTTGTTCAATTTAATCATGGACCTACTGCTGGAAATAACGTTTTCGTCGACTGAATTCTCGGGTATTGATCTCCTACCAGGAGGTCCACTTGTCGACTTAAAATACGCAGATGACATAGTCCTGTTTGGTAAAGGCGCTGATAAAATTCTGTCTTTAGGTAACACTGAGTGGCAATGCCAGAATGTTCGGGATGCGTTTCTCCCTCTCTAAATGCAAGTTGTTGCATTGTTAGTATCCATAAAACAGTAAGAAAATTGATAGTTAAAGATCTTGAATGAAATAACTCATACATATATATGTAATGCAATAGGATGCTTTCTCACGTCCCTCTATTCGTGAACATCTCTTTGTTCCATGCTTTTAACTTCCTTCCATCTCGTTTTCGTATCCAATTCATTTTTTCATTGGTCTATTATGTATCTCTGTGTTCAGGCGCAGTATCTAAGTACAACAGGTTAAATGAATTCTACCTTTTATCATCAGCTTATTTCTGCTCTATGACTATAACTTCTTTAGATCATTAATACTACATATTTCATATCGTTAGATCATGTGTTGTTTTACCACATATCGTCACGTTTTAGGGATAAACAACCGAACTTTAAAACGTATTATTTTGAGCAGTTAGTAAACAGATTGTTCATATTATATCAATAATTTGGATTTTAAAATAAATTTGCCTGATACAAGTTATTAAGGTATGTAATGTCAAGAGTAGGGGGTTGTTAGCGGGACATAGACTGGATTAAAGCATGCTCAATGCATGATTGCTTTGGTGCACGCTGATTGGCTAATTCTTATCCAATCAGCACTAGTCGATAGTTGGAGAATACTCTGGAATCTTCTTATGTAAAAACTATAAATATACTGACGTTTTCCCTATTGTGCTTCTGACGTGCTTCTTACTTCCATCTAACCTTGTTATTTGGAATATAATCTCTTTCCTGTTCAACCGTGTTTTGATTTGGGACTTGTCGAGTGAATCGGTGTCCGAGAATACTAAGCAATAGGAATAGCTGGGTCATTACCGTAAGAGAGAGAGAGTTATAACAGGGGTTTTCACTGAATCTGTAGAAGAATTCTTTATAAACCTGAAAAGCTAGGTATGTTAATAATAGACTCGTTGATCTGAGGTCGTGACCAAAGGAGACATTGTTGGCGATGCTGGTTATCTGTGGGAAACATTTTACTGCCGTCATACCTCAGTAAAGTATGGATCACCAAGGCTATATCCTCGGATCTTTTAGTCTTACCACTGTTTAACTGACTTGCTTGGTACGTTAAAACATAAAGGAGCAAGTATTCCAGTTAATAAAACTCAATCCGGTTATCATGATAGGCAAACTTGAACACCATGTCGGGGTAGCAACTGCGGTCTGAATCAGTTGCAAGCTTGCTTGCCCTTTGATTGTACTTGTTACCACTAATGATCTCCTGAGTACTCACTACGACTTTATTATATTTTGTGTAAATGTGTAATTAAAGTTTAACTGTAGTTTCATCAAGTGCAGTTATAATTGTTAACATTTCTGTTTTATTATACATGCCAGAAATTCCATTTCGGTAACTTCATAGGAACGAACTTGAATTCGACAATCCCTGATATTTTAAAACTGACTATTCAATATCCACTGAGTCCTCAGTGGAGACACAATACTACATAGTGACATAAAGAATAGAGTTAAATTTCACAATTTGAAAGTCTTGTGCCGGGACATATTACTTAACAGAGTAATTAAAAGGAGATGCCGTGTTACCAGAAATGACCAATAAAGTACTTGTTGATATTTAAATTACAAGTGATGTTCCTTCGTGTCATCAGAAGTTTCCAAGTTTCAGGTTTTATTTGTTCTCCTTTGATCATGTCATTCACTCTCTTCTAAATAATGTCGTTTAATTCATCCTAAGCTTGTAAACATACCGTTAGTTTGTTTGGTATATACGTCTTTTTCTTTAAGTATTACCGTGCTATCCACCTTAAACCCGTTGACTAATTCCTTACCTAGTAACGGCATTATTGTTTATCGGTTAGTTAATATTGTTCGTATACTCATTACGTAATCAGAAACCCTAAGTTCCTAACAATTTGTATTTTCAGGTGTATTGAACAGTTTTCAAAAGCCTCGGATAAATCCTCATCTGGTTTTATGAAATGGACTACAGATGCTGAAGCATGTGAAGCTTTGGCTTTATGTAATCATCAACCTATTAAAGATGAAGAATGTACATATCCATATACTATTAAGCTGGCATTTGCGAGTCCTAATTTATCTGCTGAACCCATTCATGTTGGAAGTGACAAGAGTAATGAGGAAAATGGACGAAATCATACCGAATAATTTTAGTAAGTTCTATTGTTCTGACTTGAATTTGCACTAATTTACTTACGTTTAACCAGTAAGTAATACTAAATAAACTTGAAACTCCATATATAATTGAAACATGACATTTATAATAATATGATCTGATTAGTTAAGATTCTTCAACCCCATTGAAATTGTGAATATCTTATACTATATATCACATTACATTCTGTTTTACTAAGTAGTATAAACTTGACATAATATCTAGAATTATTAATACTCAATCTGTAGTTCATTTAATTGTTTGCTTTATTTCTCCCACCGTCACTTTAGTTTCTTTTTAAATCTTGTTTTCAACTCATCTCTGCTATGAACCAAGAAGTAGTAAAAAATATTGTATTATGACCGGACAATTAGTCGAAATGAATATGAGTAACTGGACTTAAATTAGTTTGACCATAAAACTGAGTCCCAACTCTCAGCCAAATAGATTTCGAAAAACCAACTGACTAGGTACACAAAATATTCAATTAAAATAGCATAACAATAGGTTAGTTATCAAATACAAGAGGAAATAACCAACACTATAAAAGTGAAGCACATATAGCACTATTAACAATCCTTCACTTCTATCTACAAAACAATAATTTATTTTATTATCAAAGGAATTTCTTAACAATATCAATTCCCAACACGTAGTGATGTATATAAATATCGACTTAAAGTTTGCTTGTTTGTAATTAGACGTTATTTATCTCTTTATTGGAATGAAATTTTAACCTCATCTGTTTATGTTTACTCATGCAAATATAACACTCTTAGCTTGGTCATATTTTTTTAAGAATATCTCCACAACCAAAGTAATCACCTTCGTAATTAATTTACTTTACTTAGAGATCATTATATTATCGATCCTATATATCTCAATTGATCATCATCATTATCATCACTGCACAAAATTGAACATGCCATCATAATCATCAGTCAGCACGGCATCATATACAGGATATTCATAAAACGATTATTTCATCAAAAAACAAACAAATGTAATTGTAGTATTCAGGTTTTTTTTCTGTCTTTTTGTATCCTACTGGTCTCATCAAATATTGTTCATTAATTTTTGTGTATTCTAATTCATTATTATATACCTAGTTAATTATAGTCTATCACTTATTTGGTCCTCTCTTTCTTTTTCTGTTGTGTTTTCAGTTCTATCGTGTTATTGTTTGCCTCTTTTTTGTCAAATATATGTATTATTATTTGATCTCTCTCTGTTTTCTCTATGAATAAATCTATTGCAAATGTTATATTAGGATGCTTAAACGTTTATTGTGTTTTGTTTTAATGCTACTGGGAGATTACAATGGTTTCTAAGTAATGTTGAATTATGTGTTGTTAAATAATGTTTGACGTATTCCTCTTTGTCAGTAGGTATTCATGGTATGTATATATGTCTGACACATTCAAGTCACACATTAGAAGCAAAACATTGAGATATAAAGTATTAATCTGAACACTAAACTAACCTAATACAAATAGATTGTCAGGTAATATAGGGTTGACTGAACATCCTCGCCCATTGAACAAGTTGTCCTAACCAAAATAAAGTTAAAAATTATAAATTCTAATTATATAGGTTTTTAATTACTCAATACGGGTAACTAAATGTTGGGAATTCGAAGATTCGGTAAAACTATACTGTACTGACGGCCTTCATCAGTTCTAGAAAAGACCTTGGGACCAACCGACAGAATATTGTTCAGTCAGGATGCAGCTTTTGTAAATGAGTTGCATAATATGTAAAAACAGTAAAATTGTAAAAGTGGTTTTTGAATGCTAACATCCTAACTCTATTGTCCTAAACCTAATACTTCTAAATTTAATTCCTCTAAAAATTGGCCCCCCACCATTCTGGACTCTAACTTCTCCTCCCTATATCATTTTGTGACCACAGTTATATAGGATGCTTTTTCTCAATGATCCAGAATTCTGTAGGTAACCTTCAATCATATCACCAACCGAATTAGCCAAAATGCAAGACCTTAAAAACATTTTTTTCATGTAACAGGCTATCCACAATTCCGTTTTATAAACCGTGTATAAATCCAACAACCGTTATCTTCGTTTTTATTTGATTTATTATAAGCCCATCAGTGTAGTCTAATTCTACTGAAGGTATACTGGGAAAATCAACGTACTAATAATTGAAAACGTAGTCAAATGTTATATTTCGCACTTCTCAACACATTTGCGTATGATGACAAAGTGTCAACAGAGCTAAAAAGGTTTTACACAAATATCAGTAATATTCAGCACGTCAATTTGACTATTTTAAAAACTAAGTACTATGATACCAGTTTTCTATTTCTCACTAGTCAGCAGCATTATGTAATGTATATCATCCTTTTTGGTATTTTGTGTAAGCGGTGCTCAACGGAAGTTCAGCATAGGTTAGTGTAAGGACATAAATAGGTATACGGTTCTATATTTAATTAAAATCATAAAATAAAGAGTTATTCATAACTCATGAATACTAAGCTTTTGTTAAATGTCTGATCTTCTAGGAAATAGATTTCTAAAAACTGTTAAAGTCATGAAAACGTTTTTATTACTCATTTGAAATAGCGGGAATTCTTATATGTACACTATATGAAGGTATTTGTGTTGCAGGAAAAGATGTTACGAATGATTCATTGCTAACTAATAACTTATAATGAATTTCAGGATATGCTTTGGATTAATCTCCTGTCAATATTTTTGAACAGATAATATAGTAGGGTACTTTTACATGATATCTTGTTTCCTACTTGAGATTCTATTTGATCATTGATTCACATAATCAGTCTGTTGGGGTTGGGCGAATAATATAATCTATCATTATATGATTTATAGTTCTACAAATAATATTTAATTACTTGAAATCTCTGACGTAAAAGTACGTTCGTTTTCACACAATTTTCTAATTGCTCAATTAATATCCATTTTAATGCCCTGATACGGTCGAGGATGGGGAAAGTCAGATCTGTCTCTCGAAATGCTCTCACATGGCCACGCGTATACAGACACTGCCAGAAAAGTCCTACTCACTACCTTCTCGTGGCAGTCTATCGTTTACAAAATTTAAAGGATGAAAAGTGAATGTCCGGAGCTTTAACTGGGTTGGTGGTGGGTATGGAGGATCGACCTAGGGGAGTTGGAAAACCCTGATTCCAAACCAGTGGTACACATGGGCTTCAGGATCCTGAGGGAACAAATGGCGTATGGACCTATCGTTGGTCACTGACTATCATGGGACTACATCTCCTGACGTTTTTCCACTACCTTGCGGATCAGACCTTTAGGTCGAAGGCTCCGGGTGTGGCCTCTTAAGAAAACCACCTGCTTCGGTTTGTGCAGTATCATAGCCCACACACAAATCAAGTGACTTGTGTGGCGCGTATGTATTCGGTGCCCCTTTGTACTAATACTTGCATGTTAAAATAATCAATATAACAGTGTACTTGTATCTGTTGAGGCCAATTTGTTAGTCCTATGAGTTTATATCGATGCAAGTGGGTCAACATGAAGTTTCTTAAAATCTGATAATCGCTTTCTTATTCATACTCCATAAAGATTCAGGATTAGTAGTTCAAACTATAAATCTGCTTTAAGTCTGTGTTGAACGTGCATACTAACAGACCAGTCAGTCTTACACCGCTTCATGTATCTATTAAGTAATAAATTTATAAGATAGAACCTGTTATGTATGAATTTGAATGGAACATCGAATTTATAATTCTTCAATGGACTTACACGTAATATCCTCTTCATAACATTATTTGTGGTGTATTATCGGTTTACTTCTTCATCAGCAATGCCTTCTAAAGAATTACTGTGGATACTTCGCCGTTCCATTTCGTCCATGTAACTTTGTGATTGGAACATCAGTTATTTGAGTTAGTGTCAAAATCTTAACTAGTAATTTGCTAGACTTTGCAAACCGTCTGGAGCAACGCTTAACGTGAATATTTTCACCTGTTGTGAAAGAATCATTTTTAGTTCGCCTTTTGTGCGACATCCAGTCGTACATGATTGATATTTGGCTTCAGCAAAGTTAACTTTAAGTCTGAAATCAAATTCTAGATAGTTGCAAACTTTAATCTTGTTGGTTTAATTTAATTATGATCCTAATTTTGATTAGGTTCCATCTAAAATTTAAGATTATTCTTGGTAGGACCTGAGAATTTAGTGCACTACTTAAAGTAATACTTTTCATGAAGTATGATGAAGGACTATAGAGGCCTATCTTCACATAGAGCGATACTGCACGAACAGGATTTTATGATTATTACTTTTTGAATACAATTGTAAATAAACGTTCAGTCACTCATGAAACTTACCTTAGGAAGCTGTATTTTTATTCTTTTTAGTGATAATCAGGGTGAGTGAACACATCGTTTAATATTGTCAAGCATCAGCTTAATCTACTCGAATCATTGGCTTGTACATCGGGATGACCATTAACTTAGATCATAACTGAAACATCCTTAATATCCTGTTTTTATCTGGTATTGAGAGCAGTTTCAGTTCGAAAATACGGTCTTAATCTTGGTTTAACCATAGTATATTTGTTCAAAATATTTTCCTTATGCACTGTAAATTTAAATTCTCATAAGTGACTGTTATCAAACGCTTAACATTTGATGTAATCTCTCGTTAAAATTACTGTTTATATTAGACTTTTAACGTATGTTCTTAGTCTGTAGATACACACATAATTATAATAATATGAAGATTAGTCTAGTTTTCTGTTTAGTTATTATAATTTGTTGTATACATTTTACTATCAAAAAGCTAATGACCTACCAGCACTGCCATGATTATCGTAAATGTCCCGTACTTCACATATATTCAGTTCGAAAATAGTTTTTATTTATTTCAACAATAATATTGGCACAAAGGGGCACCGAATACATACGCGCCACACAAGTCACTTGATTTGTGTGTGGGCTATGATACTGCATAGACCGAAGCAGGTGGTTTTCTTAAGAGGCCACACCCGGAGCCTTCGACCTAAAGGTCTGATCCGCAAGGTAGTGGAAAAACGTCAGGAGATGTAGTCCCATGATAGTCAGTGACCAACGATAGGTCCATACGCCATTTGTTCCCTCAGGATCCTGAAGCCCATGTGTACCACTGGTTTGGAATCAGGGTTTTCCAACTCCCCTAGGTCGATCCTCCATACCCACCACCAACCCAGTTAAAGCTCCGGACATTCACTTTTCATCCTTTAAATTTTGTAAACGATAGACTGCCACGAGAAGGTAGTGAGTAGGACTTTTCTGGCAGTGTCTGTATACGCGTGGCCATGTGAGAGCATTTCGAGAGACAGATCTGACTTTCCCCACCCTCAACCTTACCAGGGCATTTGGCAACATATCTATGTTGGGTACTTCATTAATGACATGAAAACACCCACAATTTATCAATAAATAAATAGCTCAGACATTTCAAACGTGCTAATGCCATCGTAACTGACTACTTGACTATCTGAAAAAATGAATGCAAACAGATTAGCACATGCTGGAGCTTTAAGTAAAATAAATTTGTGCACTAGTTAATGATTGCTTACTCATTGAACTCACGAACCGATGTAAGTTAAACCACCACTGAAAACCCCAGAGCACTGGACGAGTGTCCTATCCTAGTATGGGACTCTTCAGCAATGTTTATTCACGACCCCGCAACGGGAAATCAAACCCAGGACCGTTTATCTCGGTCCGTGATTCCAACGGAATCCAAGCCCAAAGTGATAGTCGCTTACCATATTTGTGGTTTACGTTCTTCCTGGTAAACCGGATTCTCATTAGCCATTCGAAACCTATGCTGATAAACAATCATTTTTTTTCCAGAATACTGGTTTCGGTTTCCACTATATATGTATGCTTGCTTTGAAAATTCAAATGAACATTGCTGATCAACTTGTTCGAAAGCAGGATGCCCGTTGAACAAATGACTTCGATGGCATATATACCATGCCTAAGATAGCAACCCAATAAAAACCAAGTCACTTTAAAACGAGGTTCTGAACAAATCTCAGTTATCATGATTAGTGACGAGCTGAGATTGGTATTATATTCTCCCAATATATGAAATTCTAATGTTTTCCTTCACGTTTGTTCTACAACCAAGGGAACAGTCACGTAGTCATATTCTGTATAGAGGATAATTCGGTTGATGGACTGAAATTTTGCTAACCGAGATGGTTGGAATATATATTGTTACACATAAAATCACTGCTTACAATGTAGGTCACAATAAATACAGTTTAATAGGAAAGTAAATGTGATATAACCTACACCATCTATTGATAAAGTTGCTTATTGTTAATCTGAGCCATATAATAAATTCAAATTGTAATTCTCTAAATACTGAAAACTATGAGTTATGCGGCAAACGCATACTCTCTTCTTTGGAGTGCATATTTTCATAACATAGATGTTTTTAATCTTACTATTGTTTATCTCAGTATCTACTGCTCTTATTTTGTTTGTAGATAACGTACCAACTTAAGCGTTTACCAATTTCAACGATAACATAATAAATCGAAAAAAATTAGTGCTTTGTCTTATTAGTAAATTTTATGGTAAAATTCTAAATTATTGAAATTTTCACCATATTTAATTGCACAATTCATAAATAATGGTAGATTTATCTAACCAGGTTCATAGAACAATATCCTTTCTATGTTATTATGATTAATGTTCCCTAGTCAACAAATGAGTTAACTTGATATATGTGTTTATTTAATATTATTTGAATTAATTATTATTCATAACTTTCTATGTAAGGTGTTTTTTTTTTATAGTTCAATGCTCCTCTTCATATACTGATCATGTATTCCAATTGCAAAACTATCCGCATATTAAAATAATATGTAACATACATATTAAGCTAAACACCTCAATGAATTCATTGAAAACATTCTCAAATGCTGCTTCTCACAAAAAAAAATGAATAGTAAGCAAGTTACCAATAAAGTTTATGATACTTTTGCTAACTTTTAGTCTTTAAACTGAATACCTTCCAAAAAAATATATCATGTAACTAGAACTTTAACTTAAGTATTATATATAATTCTAGATGTTTTCATACGTTGAAAATGATTTTAACCTAATATCCAACAGAATGTCAATTGAATGTTCTTGTCTCAATATAGTTGACTTAATTTTTCTGATCAGAATATTCATCTGTTTAATCATAATTCGCTTTAACATCACACTTTCAAATAACGTGAATGCATGTATCATTTACTAATTCTGGTTATAAGCTTATTATCTGAAGGTCCTTAATATAAAATGGATTATTATTGCTTATCGTTAAGCTTTTTCATTTATTATCGATTATGTTGGTAAAGATACACTTTTATCTGTTGCAATATCTCGTAATTGAATACTTTTTTCTCGAGTGCTACCTTTTTCTCTTGCTTGTTCACGGTTTGGTTTCTTTTCGTTGTGTCGTTTTTGAATAAAACAACTTAAACTGATATCATGTTTGTATTTTCGATTCAGTTATTTAATCCCTTTGATTTTTCTAGATTCACAGCATAACAGTGGACACTGGGACTACGGAAGTTTATATACTGCCTTTATATGAGAGATAAATTACCACAACTGATCAGTCCAATGAACATTCGTCTCTTCAATAGTTCGTATGGAGTCAGGTATATATGTCCTACATTGAAACCTCCTCTTCGTCACACTCAAAGACATTTACCAGCAAGAATTAGAAACGAACAACGTTAATCGGTCACGTCCTGTAATCTAAAACATATAATACAATCAAAAGATTCAGTCTCCGAATATTCATTCAGTGTTAATTACATAATTCAGCTGAATAGTACTACAAGCTTCCCTCAAATCTCAGCTTCAGACATTTACAGATTAAAACTAGAGTTATGTGTACAGGAACTTTTAAATGCATCTCTTTACTATGGCACTAATTTTATTTATTTTTCCTTTTACGCTTACCAAAATGCTTCTATTTTCCCCAATTTTATTTTCTTACTAAAAGGGACCACTTTATTCACTTGGAATTCTTGATTATCGTTTGTGTTACGTCTTTCATTTCAACTTTGCATGTGTAATTATTCAACTCACCCTAATAAATAGATAGTCCTAGTATTTCATAATATATTCCTTTATTTTCATTTTGCTTAAAATGATGTCGATTTCCTGACCATGATTCTTAATAATAATGTTTTAATAAACATATATATATTGTTTTTAGACTGATAATTCAATCATATTGATTTGAATCTAAACTCGTTGAAAAAGATTCCGTTACTGAAGAGATTCATTAACAAATTATATTGGTTTATTTTTTATGATTTTTAGAGAGCAGTTTGACTTCATCACTGACTAATATCATATGGAAAACATTAAAAACTGGAGTGTACAGGACAATTGTATTTTTCTTGATATAACACTTTAGTAAGTACCCACGACTCGATATGGGGTAGAGCCAAGGACCTTTAGTTATTGCAGGTATCTCAAGAATATCTATTTAGAGTTATTTAGGTGTACGTAAGATCAATCGTAATTTCATATTAAGATTGTTCCTCTGCACAAAAACACATCTAAATAAATAAACACAGTGGAATATAACAAATTTCTACTCGCTGTTTTGATTGATGCCAAAGCATTCAGCTTTCCCAGTTATGATACTTTGGGTTGGACAAACGGTTCTGCTGAGAGAAGATGTAAATCTTCTTCAATTTCACGTCTGAATAATGGAGTGATGCATGCTTTTTTAATCCTAATAGCTTAGGTCACGACACCTTAAGAACTTTTCATAGGCTTATGAACCTTGATGGCTACCCATCTCTTCCTAGAACCTCTATTAACAGCTGAATGTCCTCATATATTGGTTACTGTATTAGTGTTTTCGATCCTAATAGACAAAGCTTTTAATCAAAGTCTTTTGTCTTACACTTGTCCGAACAAATGTTCTGTTTATATGGACATTTTACAGATATAGCTATTATCAGCTCTCAGGTACACTAAGGGAAAATGGCTACTTATTCCTTTGGTCTTCGGATGGCTTCCAAATGCCCTGGTAAGGCCGAGAGTAGGGAGAGTCAGATCTGTTTCTTGAAATGCTCTCACATGGCCACGCGTATACAGACACTGCCAGAAAAGTCCTACTCACTACCTTCTCGTGGCAGTCTATCGTTTACAAAATTCAAAGGATGAAAAGTGAATGTCCGGAGCTTTAACTGGGTTGGTGGTGGGTATGGAGGATCGACCTAGGGGAGTTGGAAAACCCTGATTCCAAACCAGTGGTACACATGGGCTTCAGGATCCTGAGGGAACAAATGGCGTATGGACCTATCGTTGGTCACTGACTATCATGGGACTACATCTCCTGACGTAGTTCCACTGCCTTGTGGATTAAACCTCTAAGTCAAGGGCCCTATGAGAACCACCTACTTTGTTTTAGGCGTCCGGAAAGTATTCCATCTCCCACACATCTCTCCTACAGATAAATGTTTCGGATTGAATCATCGGCTACGTTTTTCGACGTATGTGATGTCATCTTACAAGTATCCTAAAAGACCTAACCCGAAGGATGGATGCAGTGACGATTTGTTGACTCTACGAATATATTCCTAAACAAGTTCTTAGACCAAAACACAATCGTTCACACACTAATTTTTACACTGTATCACATAGGTGAAGATAATATGAAGTTACTATAGGAAAACAAACTATCCATCTTTGCTTATAAAACTTAATAATAGTTTACCTGAAATGATACAAGAAATATAATTTTCTCAGTGAACGAAAGTTTATACTTGTTATACTGAATGAAATAACAAAGACTGGTTCAGACAGTATATTCCGTTTATTTAAGAATTAAGAAGATTTTATATTGAGTTGATACAAGAAATATTGATCTTAACGTCACATTGAATAAGGTTCACATCTCTTACACTGGCTGGAATTCATAATCAATCGGTACAAATTATATCGAACTAGATAATGTAATTTTTCTACTCAATTATATCAATGATTTATCTAAAGCACTTTCATATATGAATTGAATTTTATTTGTCCATAATACTGATAACTATGAGAATAATAAATAATCAGAAATTACTCGAAGAGAAATATTTACATTGAATACTCATTAAAAGATAATACATATTTGTGCTAGGCTATAGGTAATTGCTGACAAGCACTATGTGATTCATTATAATGGAATATATGATCCACTGATGCAAGAATATTCCGTAGGGCTGATCGAGGTACATCAGTACAGTTGAAGATGCGATTAAATAAGACCAACATGTAAAATATTCTTGGATTACATTTCGAGCTCGTGTGTTGTTACGGGTATGAGGGCTGGTGTCACTTCCCGGCTGCCCACACCGTGGGAGGGTATTTCTTGTGGAACTTGAAAAGGAATTCGGATTAATGTCGGCCTTAAAGGTCTGGGAGCGTGACCGCAGAGCCCAAGGGACAACTGCTTGAGGCCGGTCGCGCACGGCCTTTTTGTGGAAGGTTTTTGACGTGTTAGCTCCGTTCTTCAAAGGGCCTTACCGTCGGAGACGGAAATCCGTGAGGTAAGGTGTGACATTTTTAGGGTCGACCTTTTTTAACCCCTTCCTTCTTTGTGAGAAGGCAGCATCGCTGTAGATGCTGGTTGTCCGAAGGAAACACCTTACTGCTGTCACACCCCTCTACAGTCAGCAGTACGACTTCGCCCTCAGACCTTGAGTTGCTGCTTTTAGTCTTACCGTTCTCCAATCGACCTGGCTGGCATGGTAGAACCTACAGGAACATATGTTCCAGCCAATATAGCCCGGTTGGGTCATCACGATAGGCAAGCCCGATTACTGCTTATACTCTCACTACCTCTACCACTACGGAATTTGAATCGACAACTGCATTTCTGTGCTAATGTGGTATGGCAACTCGAACCGATGTACATACGTACGAATTTCTACGTTATTACTGACTGACTGACATTTCGAGCTACCAATCGAGCTCGAATGATCGAGAGTGCATGTGTTACATCCGAACTAAGAATTAATAAATAATAACTGCTATGGATTATTTATGGACTATTATTGTATATATTCTTATTGGACAACTATTAAGAAAGTAGATTAAATGTATATTCATATCCATTTCATCATAAGCTTTCATTTGACCTATCGGCTACTGCAACACGATTTACCATTCCTAACTCATTTCCAATTTATTAACTAGTCTCTCACACTGACAGCCACTTTCGGCTTGATCTTGTATAACTATTATTTTTCATTTTATGTTATGATGTGGTCTGGTCTACTTGTATATGAACCACGTATGTCTGTGATATATGATTCATATAGCAGAGGCTGGTATTTGTGTTACGGGATGAACTAGGCAAGAAGTTACTTTACAAAAACAATAAAGATACAGAATTAACCGCAGGTTGCTCGTGCTGGCTAACGTATCATTGGTCTTCCACAAGGACAAAGTCATATGAGTCGGTGTTTTGATTGAGAACTTTGTCAATATGATATTTACAGGGTCATAAGTCATAACAAAGTTTAACAATTAGAGGAAGTATGTGAAGTAGTCTCAATCATTCTCGGTGCACCCAAACAAGCCGGAAATATACGGTCATTAACAATGTGCTCTGTAATACATTTTTAAAAAAAAAGTGGTATAAGGCTTCAAATTTTCCCTTGTATCTGTCTTCTAATCAACCCACAATATTTTCTCATGTAAAACAATTTGAAAAATTACAGTTAGCTAGTTCATGACATGGCATTAAGCTCTTAACGTTAATTTGTGTATGCTGTTTCCTTGTTCCTATTGTTGCTGTTGTTGTTTAGGTTCTTAATATGTCAGAAATTATGAATTCAATAAGTTAGTTGACATGATTGTTTTTTCTTACATTGATTGCGATTATATACATGTATATTGATTATATTTATTGGCTTTCGTTTCTGTGCACTACATAATTTAATCGAATAACTTTTATTAGTTTCTAGAAAGAAAAAATAAAAGATCATTTATAATCGACATTTTATTTATTTACGAAAATATTTTTTGAAAAGAGCAACTATTGTATACCATAGTTTGTTTAATGTGTTCAATGATATGTAGACCAATGAATATGGTGAATTGATCTTTTCAAAATGTAAATATAGATAATTGTGATCTATATTCAAATGAATCCAAATAAGAATATTTCAAGTACTATAGTTGTATTTGAAATGTCAAAAAAAAATGGATTCCACATATCAGTTAAATACAACTATATTAATAAATTAACAATCTCACTGGTTGAAATCATGAGTCAATTGAAGCTTGACCACTATGGAAAACACGGAAGCACTGGATGGCCGTTTTGTCCTAGTAGGGGACTCCTCAGCAGTGCACATCCACGATCCTGCCCCCCACGAGATTCGAACCCAGGACCTATCGGTCTTGCGCGCGAGCGTGCAACCCCTAGACCATAGAGCCGGCAACCAACGATGTTAATGTCTAACTTCAACCAATCCACGAAGTTGCGCCGCCGTTGGGTCCCGGCTCAGTGGTCTAGTTGGTTAAGCGCCTGGCGTGAGACTGATAGGCCCTGGGTTCGAATCTCTCGGGGGGCGGGGTCGTGGATGCGCACTACTGAGGAGTCCCATACTAAGGTGAAACGGCCGTCCAGTGCTTTCAGGTTTTCCATGGTGGTCTAGCTTCAATTGACTCATGATTTCAACCAGTGAAATTTCTGAAAATCTCCACAAAACCCATTCTGATAAAATTAACAATCGTCATTTATGGTATCTCCTATAACTATATTTATTGAGCTGAAGCAAAGCAAAAATGAGTCACAGACTATAATAAAGACTGATAATCAACTAAAACAAATACAATCCAAAACAACTATCAAGAGAGAGAACTCCAAAGAGTAAGATTACAAAGGGCCAATTGACAATGACCAAATCTCCTGAAAATTTATATTATTTGTAAGAGGTAGAGTGAGACCAATCAAAAGACAAGTTAAATATAATTGAACGTGAGAAGCTAATATTCACTGAGGCCATTCCCTAGTATGTTTAAAAAAGATAATCATAAATCGTTGAGAATAATCATTTTCATGGATTATTACTCCATAGCGAACCTTTCTTTGTGAATGAAGGATACATTAGTTACAAATGGGAAAGAAGACAGATGAGTTACAAAAAAAGATTTGTACACGGCAAAATGTGTACACAAATTCAGATAAATGGACGA